GATGTAGAAGATATGAGAAGATATTTTCATTTTTGTTAGTTAGTTTTGGACAGCTGGCATTTGTTTGTTATTTTTAACAGCTGGACTCATTATTCTCCTTTTATAAATAGCTTTGTACTCCTTTACAAAGACATGATTTTTTGATGAAAATAACAGAAAGCTTCTTCTTCCTCTAGGCTTTCGGTAGAAACTTGTGTTTCTTCACGCTCTAATTCTCAAATAAATTGTATTGAAAATAACTTTAGTCAATCATCGTAAACTGAAACATGTAATTTAAATTGGGACAAAGTGATTGTATAATACGGGCTATAAAATAGTTAACAGAAGGCCGGAAGATGGGGTCTTTTCATAGTTTGTAAAACTTAGAGCATTCACATCCCTTAAATAAAAATTCTTCCGTCCAATCATTCTCGTTCATTCACATCATTGCCATATCATCCATATCTAAATAGATTACTTTTTAAATAAATACTCACAATCCATTTCATACATCCACTCATTTAATTATTCATAGGTCCCACTTGTATTTATTTTATTTAAATAGATTATACTCTCTATTACGGGTATATTATAAAATAATATTAATTAGTTATCATAACATATTAGATAAATACAAAATTACACAAAAATTATTCTATTAAATATTTAAAAATTTATATTAATTTATATTTAAAAAAATCAAGGGAAGATATATAATTTCAACAATTAAAATATGAAATAAAAGAAATTAGTGGATGTGTGTTGGAAAAATAAAATTAAAGTGTTGTTTTTTGTGAGCTTATTGAATTGCTATTTTGTAAAAAAAAGACATTGAAGCAGAAAAAAAGAGAGAAATCTAGATGCGGAACAAATTGCTCTCTCCATCCAACACATTATCCATAATGGTTTAAACATAGCTAAAAATCTATTTGTAATGTTAAATGGTTATTAGATGAGAGGTGCTCTTAGAGCATCTTCAACCATGCTTGTTATTTTAATTTTCTATTTTTACATTATAGCAAGTGAATAGTGATATAGCAAGCACTTTTTTGCTTTATTCTCCAACCATAATTTGTCATTTTAATTTTTAAGTATTGGCTAGCTAAATTTTGAGAAACTTGTCATATTTAGCAAATCAAAGTTATTTTTTGGCAAACTTGCTAAAATAAAGCATGTCCTTTGGAGAAGAACAAAAGTGTTTAACTAGTTATATTATAACTTTTAGCTAGTTAAAATGATATGGTTAGAGATGCTCTTAGAAGTCACGAAGTAAAATAATATGGAGCATTTACTAACCTTCATTACAACCAATCAAGTTAATATTGAATTATTGGTCCACATATCAATTTTACGAGACATCCATGCATATATACTCTTTTTGTCCGAGATGTCATTTGTCAAATTTGCCTTGTACAATCAACCAAGATACACATTTGACTCCAAATAAATAAAATATATACAATATATTAATTAGATAAAACGATATTTTGAAAATATTATACAAATTAATCATTTTTGTATCAATACAACGTACTTAATTATGAGTTTTTTAAATTTCTAATAAAAGTTTGTTAATTTTAATTGCAAAATGTCAGAAAATGGCCAATACTATCGACGAAAGTAATATTTGTGTGGGCACCATGGAAAACACCATATATAAAATGTGGAAATATCACATGAACAAATTAAAAGATAGCCATGATACTTTCATATATATATACAAGACTAGACGAAGAGTGAAAACATTGGTAAAAAGACATCCCTAGGTGAAATGTTTTTTTGGATTTTGGCAAATCTTCTCGTGATGATACTACAAAGTGCAAACATGGGGATGGGATTTCGGAGTTGGAAATTCTTCATCCCCAGCCATAAATGGAATAGAACTGCACCAAAACCAGATAAGTGGACTGAGTTAATTTAACTTAAAATTAGTCGAAATTTTAACTAGAAACTCTTAAAATGAAGTGATAATATGTTGAAAAGCAAAGAGTTTAAGCCATTTATCATACACTAATGCACATAGAGTTTCCTTGATTACAAAGTTAATTCCCTGATATGGGCATTAGAGCAAGTTCAAGGACAACATCATCTATAAGAGCGTCCAAAATCTGCTTGCCAAACTGCACGCAAATCCCCTCCCAATCCTTAACCTTGAACACGCCACCGCATGTCCACCACAGCTCCGCCGCACATTCCTCTGCCAGTCTGCAGATTTCTTCGAACCACTTCTCGCCGGAACCGCCGCACTCTTCCTCCTCCTCCTTCCTCCCCCTGCAGACAACCTTTCCTTCACCCGCTTTCGGCGCCTTGTCATTGACGACCCTTCGTCCTCTTCGGTTCTGGGCTTTGTTGCAGGGGTGTTCTACCTTTGAGCCGTTCCTCGATTTCCCAGATTTCTCTGCGATCAAGAACGCGAAATTATGGAACCCATCTTCAAGAAATGAAATATTTGGATTGCGTTGAACATACCTGCAGGCTTATTAGCTGGAGAAATTCTAGGGGTAAGATCAAGAACTGATCGGTTACATCTGTTCTTCAAGTTCCTATGAGGCTTTGATTCTACTGCAACTCGTGCGGGTTTCTTGACTGCCCTTTTCTCAAGAGCTAAATCCCCTTTTCTATTTACAATTACACGATTAGCGCTCCTCTTCTTAGCATGGGTCATCGTCGATTTCCTCTCCTGGCTCGTCTTCTCCTCTGTTTTCGCTCCCTGAAACCCAGCAATGGCGGGAGGCGATTGGGGCGAAGGCTGATTCCCGGGGGCATCGAAACACAGGATTAAGAAATCGGGTTTTTCTCGATCGGAGGACCGGACGGCTTCGCGAAAGGAGACAGAAGTTCTCACTCTCCGGTGCTGGGCCTCCCCTGTTAATGTCTGGGGTGAGAAATCGATGAAGTTCACGGATCTGCTCTTGAGGAAGGACCCGAAGCTACGGCTTCTCTGAGCAGAGAGGTCCGGCATTGATTCCAGGCCCATTAATCTTGCCACTATTCCCGGAGATGTGGTTGTGGATTTCAGGGTGGATTCTTGATCGACGAAGAGGGGATTGTTGGAGTCCGGGTCGGGAAGTTGATCGGAAGGATGTGTTGGGAGACTCTTGCGGCAAAGAAACAGAGTGAGCATGCCGGAGAAGCAATTGCCGGGAAATGAGTTTTCCGGCGATGACCCGGCCATTGCTGGGTTGGGGATAAGCGTTTGTTGTGTGAGTGTTTCTGTAGAAGCTTTTGCAGTTATTAAGAATAAAGAGACAAGTCTACGACCTCACTTATGTGCTATACAGCACTCTTCATTTGTAGCAGAGTGCTGGATACGGCTCCCTTTGGATTTCGGATTGGACAGTTTTCGGGTTAACAAAGTCAAGAAATTTAATTGCGTTAAGCTCCATTTTTTTAAAAAAATGAAAAGTTTATTTTGAAATAACTCAAAAAATGAAGTGAGGGCTGAGGAGATTAATTTTGGAGAGAGAAAGTATTATATTTTTCTTTTTTATAACTATTTTAATATATTCACAATATGCTTCCTTTGTTTCGTAATATGTGTAAAAGATTGTCATTTTTCGTAAAGAATTGTCATGTTTTGAGTTTCACAAAATCTATAATAAAATAATAGAAAGTCAAAGTGTTAATTAAACCTTATGGAGAAAGAAGAGAGAAGTTTTTCAAATCATGTTTCTTCTTTCCTCCTAAAAGAATGTCATTTTTTGTAGACTAATAAGTAAAAATGAGATAATAATTGAGAGAGGGAATAAATATGTAGAATTTGATAAGAGGGAAAAAATATTCTGTATATTGAATTGTTCTGTGAATACAAAGATCTAACCCCCTTTATATAGGAAGAGAATAAAGCATATAAGTAAACTTCTATTCCTACCATATTTCTATTCCTACTAAAACAAGAAATAAACAAACTAGGAAAGATACTAAATCGAATCCCAAAGGGATTCAGTTTCCTTCTTCGATATGACTTCCTTCTTCTGTCGCCAACACCCCCCCTCAAGCTGGAGCATGGGAGTTCAACATGCCCAGCTTGGACATCAAAATATTGAACAAAGCAACAAAGCTTGAGGAAGCCGCTGCCATCGTTGTCCGAGTGTCATCTAGACACTTCAGTTTTTTTTCTTCAACGGAGACGCCAAGCTTTTCGAATCCGCCGAATAATCCGTCGAGTAAAGGAACGTCANTTGATGGTTGGGCGGGATTCCTCGACAGCAATGTTCTTCGTTGAAGGAATTCATGATATTCTTTAGTGAGGGAGAACAGTCAAAGAAAATCAAAAATTACAACATCCCACCGGTAGGCATTGAATTGTGTATGCCCACCGGCAGGGGAATAAGCGTGTTTGAGGTCTCAAGAATTCAGAACTTGCTCCGATACCATGTAGAATTTGATAAGAGGGAAAAAATATTCTGTATATTGAATTGTTCTGTGAATACAAAGATCTAACCCCCTTTATATAGGAAGAGAATAAAGCATATAAGTAAACTTCTATTCCTACCATATTTCTATTCCTACTAAAACAAGAAATAAACAAACTAGGAAAGATACTAAATCGAATCCCAAAGGGATTCAGTTTCCTTCTTCGATATGACTTCCTTCTTCTGTCGCCAACAAAATATTTCAAGAGTATTTTACTTTTTTGCATTATGTTCATTATACTATTTGAGTAAAACCTTGATGAGACCGAATACTATAACAAAAAGTATCAAAATATTACGGGTAATAGAACTCTCATTTCAATTTTTTGTAGAGATATTCAATACTCTCTCGTAATAATATTCTGCAATAAGTTTTTTATCGTCGTAAGAAAAGTTTCAATTTCCATATATAGACAAGCGTTTTGTAATTTACGGAGTATATCATTTTTGTTAAAGAAGATCCACATCAGAAATAAAAAAGAAAATAAATCGGTATATAAGCTCTTGAGTTGAAGTAAGTAATTGATTGGATTCAATCTTTTATATGATTCAGCCCAAGTGTCTTATGGTCCAGTCCAGTGATCCTACCCCATCTTAAATTCTATCATGGTATCGGAGCCAGGTTTCTAAAAATTCTATAGCTGATCGGCTGATCGGCACTGAGCCGTCTGTCGCTGTTGTTTTAGCCACCTCATTTGTTAAAGTGTCCGTCTAGAAGTTAATTCCTAGCGGCCCATTTGTCTTTAATCTAGTTGTCCGTATGCAAAAACGACATGTGCCCAGTGTAACCCGATTGTTCGTTTGGACAATAAAAAAATGTATTACATATAAATGAATGCCCAATAAATCTCACCGTATGGAATTATCCTTGGGGGCACTCTATTTAGCCGAGCAATTTTTTAAATCTTTTCTACACTAGCCATGCCAATTGACAGGGGGCAATTGCCCCCCCCATATAATTAACCTAGATCTGTCAATAAAACTAAGTAATTGATTAGATTCAATCTTTTATTATAATTTAGTCCAAGTGTCATGCAATTTTATTTTGTTTAATCTTCGTATCCGGTCAATATATTGTACGTGGAACGTCATTGTGGGAAGAAGGAAGTACTTCGTTAGTATTACTCGGTAATATGTAATTTGGTCAACATTAACAAACAAACAATTAACAATAGGATTATGCCAGAGTGCATAGAAAAGAAATAATTTCCACATTTGTTTGGGACCGAGTACCGACCAAACTTTAAAACAGGTTAATTGATGAAAATGAGGTATGCCATCCGTAGTCAACGAGACTATAGAAGTAGTACCCGTTTTCATTTGTTTTGCGGTCTTGATTTTTACTCATATAAAATATGGGGGCCGAACTCATCCAAAGTCCTTGGTTCACATCACATTAATAGAAAAACCGTGGACCGACAAATGCTGACTCACCTTCTTAATTACAATGAATCCACACTTTAATTACTCCGCTGTTTAATTTAATTGTAATGGCCTGATGTACAAGGCTGCTTTCACTCGCACTGTTCTCGTGCTCATCCATATCGTTTGACACTTTGACGTACATATATATATATACGTTATTAGGAGGGATATAAGTGTAGTATCTCGTGATTTAATTTGGGCGCAATTGCAAATCAAAGATAGATGGTGATTGTAGATAAAAAAAAATACAACTCACTTATTTGGAGAGTAGAATGAATTATTGTTGTGGTACTGAATTTATAAAACCAAAACCCTTCTGTTTGGTAGCATTGTTTCTTGTTATAGTTTCAAAATTTACATCGTTGTCCCTCATGATTTTGACATTGTTACGCCAATATCCTCAAAATAGTTGGTGAATAATTCCGTTGCGCGCCTGATACATCACGATGCGACAATGGAGGTGAAGCGAGTGACATGAAATTTGAGCAAGCACTGGACGAGGAGGAACCAGAGACGACGAGCATCAGAATGGGTCGGCGAGCCCGAAATACCCCCGCATGGCGTAAAGATTATTTAATCAAATAAGTTATTATTATTATTGGAGTAAATTGCATAAAAGGTCTCCCAATTATAGTTCATTTTACATATTTAGTTCCTGCATATCAAATATCAATAATTTAGTCTCTAATTATTAAATGTGACAATGACTATTTTGAAGGAGTTTATAAGGGCGGTGGTAATGCATGTAATGCCCAGTGGCATCATTGCATTTTTAGCGCCCTAGGGGCGTTAAACACCGCCCCCTGTGGCTTCATCCGGGCGTATTTTGATTGTGTTAAACTTATAACGGGCGTTTTGCCCTATCTTCTTCAAATTAAAAAAAAAACTCTTCCTCTAAACACCCACAAAATATTTTCCTCTTCAATTTTTTATTTTTAAAAATAAAACTCACAAACAAAATCTTTCTTCTTCAATTTTTTTAAAAAATTAAACACCCACAAAATCTTTTCCTCTATCTTCTTCAAATTTAAAAAAATATTCAATCTTTTTCATCTTTTTTAACATGAATGTCTTCATTTTTAATGTTTCTTTGTCCGGTCTCGAGTCGAACGACCAAACGAATATAATCTGCTTTCGAGAGAAGACATAACGAGATCAAAACTAAATTTAATTTGTTTTAAGTTTTTAATTAATGTAATTTTTTAATTAAATGTTCTTTTTTATTGAAGTTAACTATTTTCATTTAATGAATTATTGTCGTTTAAATTAATGTCACTTTCTTTTTTTAATTTAATGAATGTAATTTTTTAAATTATTGCCGTTTCAATTTCTTTAAATTTAATGAATGTTTTTTTTAATTATTCTTGTTTCAATATAATTAAATAATAAAATAATTAAATTTTATTAATTTAGTTTTAGAAGATTTATATTAAAAAAAGAAAAAAATGAAGGTTTGAAGCCCCGGGGCTTCAAACCCATTTCCACTGAATCTGTGAGGTAAGTTAAAGCTGATGTGGTAGACAGAGAAATTTTGAAGCCCCGGAGCTTCACGGGTACTTCGAGTGCTCTAAGTTATATATTGTAATTCTCAAAACACCTTTGACAAAGGAATGGATTCTAAATCTAAATACGACATTTGTTTTCTAGGTACAAGGTTATTGTGTGTTTTGGACAACTCAGGACAATGCTACTTTTATCTTTTGGGATAAAGAGTGTGTGGAACTTCTTGGAATATAATGGCAGCAAGTGTGATGATGACCTTGATGAGTGGGGTGAGAGATTTCACATATATTTTTTAATGAAATGATGAATGAATTTAATGAAACATTTAATTTCAATCTTACATAGGTGTGGCAAATCCAGTAAGATTCCAAAGGAGATCCGAGACATACATGAATGAGAGCTCTACTCTCGGTTTGTGTTAAACAAGGTATTGAGAATGATTCCTATTTCAGTGGCAATTCTTATAGAGGGTGAAAACTTATAAAGGATAAATTTGTCGTCTCCTGGTATGAAACCTCTAAAGTGGATGATGAATTTCAATAGATGTTGAAAGAAAATGAAAAGAACAGCGAGTGCCTAGAGATGGTATTTTCATGTAGATATATTCTTTTAAATAAAATATGCTTATAATTATTTAGCTTATATACATGTAGATCTATATAAAGCAAGGAATTCCACTAGTAACATCCGTTGATTCCGGATGAAAACTCTACTTGTAATATGAAGCAAGGAACTCCACTAGCACAACCCTTGGTGAAGTCAAAATTAATTATTTGGGACGAAAAACTGATGACACATAAGTATTGATTTGGATATAAGTATGCATTATATTCTACGATGTCATGGAACCAACTCAACCAAAAGCTCAAGCTTGTGGTTGTGGCCCAGGAACAGTTATTTATATTCTAACACGCCCCCTCACGTGCAGGCGTATTCTTTTTCGAGTCTTGCACGTGAAACCTTAATTTTTTTAAACTGGGTGGCGCTGAGTTTCGAACCCGTGACCTCTTAGTCAACGAGGCTCCGATACCATGTCAAAGAACCAACTCAACCAAAAGCTCAAGCTTGTGGTTATGGCCCAGGAACAGCTATTTATATTCTAACATACGATTTTCTAATTCAATGAGTGAAAATCAAACTCTCGAGGAAAAACAGTCGTCTTTGGTGCATATTTTTGGTAAATTTTGCTAGTAATTTCAAGAGAAAGTGTTAATTCAATAATTAATTCCTCCTACATTTGGGAACACTGCACCGTGCTGTGTTTGACAGAAAACATGCATCTGCAGTCAATGATTCATGATAGTAGTTATGATCACTTATTTGGATTTGCTCACTTGATTGCGAGTATTGGTGACGGAATTGGAGGGTATGAACATGACGGTTATGATGAAGCAACAATACGTAATGATATGTTACTTTCATCTTCCGATAATCCAATAGCTATTAGAGTACATTTAACTTATCGAGATTTCCATAAAATAGCCAATGATCTAAACTATTTGCAAGATCGTGCAAATCTAGCTCCAAAATTGGTTGTTGTCGCTCCTATAAATGAGTATATGATAGCGATGAATCCCAACATCGAATCTTGAACATATCTTAGTTTTGACAAGGTAGAGAACTCGGACTCAAATTTTAGTGCTTCTGGAGTGCCAAATAAAATTCGTGAACATATCTTGAACATATCTTAGTTCTGAACATATACATTCTCCCGAGTTCTTAAATAAAATTCGTGCTTCTGGAGTGCCAAATCATGAGCTAACTTTAAAGGTAGGCACACCTATTATGTTGTTCAGAAACATTGATCATTACTTGTATTTATGTAATGGCGGTTGATAGTAACTCGGTTAGTTAATCACTCAATACAAGAAAAGATATTATCTGGAAGACACGTGAGTGAAGAAATTGTTATTCCAAGACTATGATTATTGACCCCATATGATACAGAAATTCCATTTAAGTTTCAAAGAAGACAATTCTATGTGTAACTTTATATGCAATGACTATTAACAAGAGTCAGAGTGAATCTCTGAAACATGTTTGACTATTGTTACGAAAATCGGTATTTAGTCATGGGCAACTATATGTTGCAGTTTCAAGAGTAATAAATCTTAATGACTTGAAAATTCTTATATACAACGCAAATAATGTTCACACTAATTGTACAAGTGTTGTAGTTTATAAAGAACATTTTTTTTAAAATTTGTACTCCGTAATTCATTTACTTTTTGTAATTTAAAATAATGGAAAAACTGTATATTCCATTATATACCCATTTGTATTATTCAATAATAATCCCAATATAATTTAATAACTTAAATAAATAGTTAATAATACCAGTTTGCGTGTAACGGATGTGTTTCATATTGGTTTCATCGTGGTTTGCGTGCTATGCTGTTCCACCAAATCCTTAAAAATAAGGACAAAGTGTTCGCTCGATCGCCACAACAAAAGAATAAAAAAATACAATGGCTGTCGGGTTTTCTCGTTCTCATATACTAGCAGTGGTTCAATTTTTATTTCCCTCTTCTCTTCTTTCTTCCTTGCCTTATACGTCCTTCGCCCCAAAACTAAAATCCCAAACAATATAGTTTTGGCGCAGAAGAAGGAATGGATATAAAGAAGAAGGAAGAAATCAAAACATTGGATGTTTCTATTGCATTTCCTCAAGCAACCCCTGCAGCAGCCTTTCCTCCTTGCAGTAAGCTTCATTTCAGATCATAACGCTTTCCCCATTTCCAATTTGTAATTGTATCCACTTCCACTATGCACTCTATTATCCTTCTGAATTTGCTTCTCAGTGTCTTTAATTGCCCTTGTATTACTCTCATGCTCCAGCTTCTGACTACTATCAGTTTGATGATTTATTGACGCCGGAAGAGCAATCCGTACGAATGAAAGTGAGGAAGTTCATGGAGAAAGAAGTGGCACCCATTATGACCAAAGTATATACATACATATTTCCTTAACTCGCAGTCGAGATTTATTAATCCGAAACTTGTTATGATGTTCTGCTTGATCTTTTGATATAATAAAAACATTGGGATCTTTTGACAGTTTCCCTTGTATGTATGTAGTACTGGGAGAAGGCTGAGTTTCCATTTGAAGTAATTCCCAAAATTGGTGCTTTGAATGTTATTGGTGGTGGACTCCAGGTGGTGATGCCAAGAATAGGCTTTGCATATATAGTTTAAACTGGTTTTTTTGTACCCTTTATTAGAATGTACTGGACTGGATGGTTTCATCTGTAGGGGTATGGGTGTCCTGGTCTCTCAGTGACTGCAAGCGCCCTCGTGTTTGTAGAAGCTGCTAGAGTTGATGCAAGCCTATCTGTTTTCATTTTGGTGCATGATTATTTGGCAATGCTAACCATTGGTTAGTATTTACCTATATCTTCTAGTCCTCCTACCTAGTTGTTCTATAATTTTGGAATGAAGAATACAATGCTTGAAACCAAGAACTTATGACTATGGTACTATTAATGATAGGACTGTGTGGGTCAGAGATTCAAAGGCAGAATTATTTACCATCATTGGCCAAACTTGAAAGCATTGGTTGTTGGGTTAGAATCTTTAATTATCCTACTCTTTGGTTTCCAGATTGTAATCATGTATGTGACAATTATAAATTGTGGTTTATTGCTCTAGACATCATTTGTTACTAATTTCATTATATTTTGCAAAATTAAATTAGGCCCTTACAGAACCCGAATACGGAAGTGATGCAAGTTCTTTGACAACAACTGCACAAAAGGTATGAAGTATCATATCCCGGTCCTTTGGTTAACTCTGTAATAATATGTGATATTGTGATCTACTAATATATTCCACGTCGTGAACGCATTGTATCCACTTAATAGACTGTGAACAACTAAAGGTGTTCCCTCGGACGATTCTTTTGAACGTATCTACACATCCTAGCTTTATTTAACTTCAAAAAATTTCAGGTTAAAGGAGGTTGGATCCTTGAAGGACAAAAGCGTTGGATAGGGAACAGCACTTTTGCAGATGTTCTCATTGTTTTTGCAAGAAACACCTCCACGAACAAGATAAATGGGTCAGTAAACAGAGTTATGTATCTTTTATACTCCGTACTATATATATATACCACAATTACTTCATCTTCAAATCATGAACTTGTTTGGTTCTAACATAAGATTTAGGATCCAGTTTTAAATATATTCATTCATCTTCTTAGTTAGAGTAAATTGAAGTTTTGGGTTCGTCTAATCGGTACGTTAGCTGGGTGCACGCAGATTCATAGTAAAGAAAGATGCTCCGGGATTGGAAGCTATGAAAATGGAGAATAAAATTGGGATGAGGATTGTTCAAAATGGAGATGTTCTCCTAAAGAAAGTCTTTGTGCCAGATGAGGACAGGCTCCCGGGTGTAGACTCTTTCCAGGATACAAAAAAGGTACTCTGTCTGTATTTGGCCAATTCGTTTGTGACATTAAATTTGATAGTTTCTCCGTCATCACAAACTTTTTTCCTTTTTGTCCATCTTAATTTAATGTTCCTGTTTCCATTTATACAAAGCATCATGTGTTTTGTCTTAATCACACAGTTATGACTTTATTAAAAACTGTGTCTAATCCAACTGTTTTCAATTATCATTCGATTTTAAGATAAAATTGTTGTTTTAATTTGTGTGAGCTCTTTTGCTAATGGTGGTGGCATCATATTGTTCTTTCTTTTAATTGTGTGCTTGGGAACTTGCTTGCAGGTTCTTGCTGCTTCTCGTCTCATGGTTGCATGGCAACCTGTTGGCATTTCTATGGGTGTTTATGACATGTGCCACAGGTTATATATATAGACACACACGCTCACGCACACATTGTACATAAACAGACTTGCAGAGCTGACCCATAATGAGACGAAAATATATAACATAATAATGGAACAAAAAATGGCTAAATAAGGCACATAACCAAATAAACTTGATTTGTATTAACAATGAAATGGTGAATGAAGGTATCTGAAAGAGAGGAAGCAGTTTGGAGCTCCATTGGCTGCTTTCCAGCTCAACCAGCAGAAACTGGTCAAGATGTTGGGAAACATTCAGGGGATGTTCCTTGTTGCTTGGCGTCTCACAAAGATGTACGACAGTGGTAAGATGACTCATGGTCATGCCAGCTTGGCCAAGGTATGTACCGAAATATGAACGCTTCCTTCCCTGCAAAACATCTCTTCATGTTCGTGCGCATTGTGATTAAGTTAGCCACTTCAACTCAAGATCTTCTTGATGTTACGTGCATTTGTATCTCAGTCATGGATTACACTAAGGGCAAGGGAAACTGTTTCACTCGGGAGGGAGTTACTTGGTGGCAATGGAATCTTGGCTGACTTTCTAGTTGCAAAGGTTTGTATATATATACACTATGTGAGACACAAATAAGTAAATTGACTGAAGTAGCTGCGGTTAGAGCATAAAAACCTTTATTGGACCTAGAATCACAAGTTTGAGCTTTTGGTTGAGTTGGTTTCTTGACAGTTGCTTAACAAATACATATGATGAATGGATGGGTGCAGGCATTTTGCGATATGGAGGCAGTCTACACATATGAAGGGACCTATGATGTTAACACATTGGTCACAGGTAGAGAAGTCACTGGCATCCCTACTTTCAAGCCAGCCTTCGCCAACCAAAGGACTCGCCTCTAATTTATTACTACCTCCGTCCCATATCTCTCTTCGCATTGCACTATTTTAACTTCACCTGAATTTTTATTTATTTGTATTTTTTCATGGCTTATATGATAAAATAAAGTCAACACTTGTTTCGTTGAACTTTTGATGTAGTTTTTAAATATGTAAATTTTATTTTTAATTTTTATACCAATATTTAAATAAAATATATTCAAAAAACTTGGAGTTTTTCTTCGTTTTGCGCAACGTGAAGAAAGATATGGAACGGAGAGTTTGTGTTAGAGGTTTTTGACTTCAATTCGTCCCCTATATGAAAATCCCGTTTGTGTGGTGTTTTGTGAGGTTTTAGCCTGGCCTAGTCGTACTCAGAGTGTGGTGAGATTGTCCTGACTGAACTCTTTGTTGTAGGGTGTGCTTTGCTTTGGTGGCTGTATGAGTGTGTACCTGAGTGGCTTTTTAGTGTTGTCTTTTTGTGTGTTTCTCCCACTGGACTTTTGACTTTTGAGTGCTTGGCTCTCTTAGGGCACTTCAAATACCGGGCTTCAAACCTTCTTTCTTCTACAACAATTTTAATCCCAATTTAACTTACATCAGAGTTTCACTGGAAATATCGGGCTTCAAATCTTTTTTTAATTTTTAATATACATTCTATAAATTAAAATTAAAAGGATTTCATTAATAGCAACATAAATAAAAATTATTCGGAGTATCATTTTAAAAAAAACTTAAATAAGTGTTACAAAAAATTTAAATAAAACACATAAAAATAGGTTATATAAAATTAATGATTATTTGAATGGCTGAAAATATGTTCAATCAAATCCACCGTTAGTACATCATGAATCTCTCCGCTTCAAGTTTCTTGGCGATTTTTTTTATTTTTCTTTTTTGATATCTTTGTATGTGTGTTTGCCGTTTAAGAACGATTGGTTCCGAGAGCAACTTGACAATTGTGAAATGATCTAGATATATTCCATTGCCAAGATAATATCAACGCTTGTAAAGCGTCTCTCTAAGCTCGAATCGAATCGTCAAATATGGGCGATGGATCAAGAACATTTATGTCATTGTTCGAGCCGGCAACACCCAAAAAAGCATGCTAAAACCAAAGGTCATTTGAAGCCACTACTTCGAGCACAATAGTAGGTTTGAGATTATCACCCCCGTGAATACTGATCATGTCACACAGTGAAAAAGTTTCTCCATTCCCAATGCGTGCAATCGATGCTCACACACATGCCAACATGTCGACAAAGTCGTGTTTAGAAACATGTCTCGCCTGTAACTGCTCAATATCGCTCATTGTTGACTTACGTAACTACCTCCTATGGTACAGTCGACTACTAGCTTTATAGAACTTATAAACACATGACCTAATGTTTCGACCCGACATCTTCAAGTATTCATCAAACATATCACTAGTGGTTCCGTACCATTTGACGAAGCGCGACGGTGTACTTTTAGATGCTGCTAAACACCGATCTCTCGCATCAAACTGTTGGGTGAACCAAGGAACCTCGCGTTCAATATCATGTAACATTGCATTAAAAACCGGCTTATTAGAAAATGGTTACTAAATTCCCCCGACGTGTAAACACACGAAGTATTAAAGTGGTCGTTGAGCGGTGCTTCATCCGCAGCCGCCCGGTCACGGTTTAAATGCTCACGTCAGGTTTAGCGCTAGGACGATTCTGCGTCCTCTTGTTGTTGTTGTTTCCGCCACTGGTAACATGGCGTTGAGGAAGCACGAAATATGAATGTTTTTCTCTCTTCGTCAGATGATGATCTCATTTTTTAAAAAAATATATAAGGTATTTGGGTTTTAAAGAGAATGAGAATATATTGTGTGAGAATACTCGTATGTGTATGTTTTTTAATAAGAGGGTATTTATAGTTGAAAATTTTAAGAAAATTAAATTTGGCAATGGCCAAAATTTTTACTATTAGGGAGGGGGGGTTGGTTCAGATTCATGTTTGGAATTGCATGTTTAATATTTTATGATCCAGTGCTATCAAGTTCGGATCAACCCGATAGGATATGAAGTTTTAATTTTTGAATACCTAAATTCACACTGTTCCTTCTATTTTGCAATAAAAAAATTCACAAAACACCTAAGTCTATACATTGTACAGAAAATTTCACAATTGGTCTTTTATAACATGGGGACTTCCTTATTTAGTCCTTTATTATCAAATATTATCCCGGTAGTCCTTTTATAGATATCGTTCCATAAATAGTCCTTTTCTTATCTTCAATTATGTTGGTGTTAATTTGATGCTAAAAGTGTAATTTCACAATGATAATATATCTTTCTTGTCATACACAATTCCAAAGGTCATTCTTGATGCGTCGTTTGTGAGTTACTTTCGCTTTCTATTCATACCATAGTCTACAAATGTGGTCTTTCGCCATATTTCTAACCCACAATCATAGTCGTTACTTTTATGTTATCCATCTAAGAATTATCAAAATATTTCACTGAACATAGGGTTGACGTGAAATTATACTTTTAGCATAAAAATTAACATGAACATGTCAGAAGATAAAAAAAAGACCATTTGTGGAAGATCACCCATAAAAGAAGGAATGCATGGGTAATATTTGATAATAGAAGACTAAATACTGAAACCCCCTTCTTAAAAGACCAATTATGGAATTTAGTCTACTTTGTATTAATGTTATCAGAGTAATACATTTTTTCTCATTTCCTAAATGATTTGCACACTTTACTATTCAAAAATCGTGAGAACTTTTGTTTATTTGTGTGTTTTCATTCACTATTTGCTTAAATAAAATATTTGTGTCACCTCTTGTTTTGAAAAACTTTTGATGCACTTTTAAAATATGTAAGTGTTACTTTTTATTTATAAACCAATTTTTAAATAACATGAGTTGAAAAAACTTGAGATTTTTTTTCATTTTACGTAAAGTGTAAGAGGGACTATTACTCATAATAAAATGCAAAGTTTTGTAATATAAAAAAGGAAAAATTAACCAAAATAATCCCAACTTTACCTTGTCTTTCAAAAATAATCCAACATTTCACTGTGATGCATAATAATCCCAACTTTATTGAAATTTGTGAATTTTGGGTCACCATTAAGTTTCCAACGGCGGGTTAACGGAAATACCTGTTTTGGGCAACAAAATGAAAGTTGGGATTATTTTTTATTAATTTTTGTTTTTAACTTTTATTTTTTTGAAATTTTCATTTAAATTTTTGAAATTACTTTTTACCTCCATTTCTTTTTCTTTTTTAAAAAGATTATTCTTACCTTAGAAAAATAAAAATAATAGATATAATAAACAATGAAAATGAGAAAAATAAATAAAACCAAACAAAATTAATGAAATAAATAATGTAATAAAAAGAAATTAAACAAAAACTGGTAAAAAATAAAAGAAATATTTACGAAGTGGTGGGTTTTAATATTTTACACACTATACGGGATCTTAATGTTAAAAATATTTATGTACTACTTATTTTTTAAAAGAACAAGATGTTCGATACAGTTAGAATTATTCTACATATTTTTTTTAAAAAATAAGAAGTGATACGTTAATACTTTGTACAGTGTGTAAAATATAAAAACCCATCACTCCGTATATTTTTATTTTATTTCTTACCAATTCCAAGTTAGTTTCTATTGACTACCTTATTTATTTCATTATTTTTGTATCATTTCAGTTACTTTTCTCTTTTTTATTTTTTATATCTATTATTTTATTTTTTTTAAAGTAAGACTAATCTTTAAAAAAGGAAAACGAAATGATGGAGGTAGAAAGTAAATTTAAAAAATTTAAATGGAAATTTCAAAAAAATTTAAAAATTTAAAAAGTTAAAATGCATCCAAAATAATCCCAACTTTAATTTTGTTGCGCAAAACAAGCATTTCCGTTAACCCACTGTTAGAAACTTAACGGCGACTCAAGACTTGCAAATTTCAGTAAAGTTGGGATTATTACGCATCACTGAAAGATGTGATTATTTTTTAAAGACTAGGTAAAGTTAGAATTATTTTGGACAATTTTTCCTATAAAAAATTAATTGATAGATCGGATCAAGTTTGAGTTTGATCGGTTTTATCCATTTCTAGCAATTCCTCATAGGGTTCGAGTATACATAACCTCTATACTTTTCTTACTGCATCAGCCCTCATCTACATCAAAGCAACATCAGATTCCAGTAATTTCATACTTTGATACTATAACTGGCAGTGTACATACGTCAATCATTGACTAAAAGTTAAACTTTAGCAATCTTTTAAAAACGAAGGGAGTCAAAACCAATATAAAATTAGTAAAAATAAGATGACACTCATTTAATTAAATTGATTTAACAATACGAATAGGAAATTTCATAAAATATTACAATTATGTTATACAATTATATTTTAATCTTAGAGTCGCATTAAAAATACTACCGTATTTTTAGTGTACTTTGATATTTTAATTGACTATTACATTTGTAATTTTAGAGTCAAAATTATGACTTTAATCCTAGAGTCCATTATTTTTATTGTTTTAACTTTAGAGTCATAATTATTATGATTATACTGTAATAATTAAAGAGGCCGGAGAGGGGTAAATTTCACAAATGGTACCTGAATTTTAGCTGGAATTTCGAAGTAGTACCTTAACTTCAAATCCTTTCACAAAAATCCCTAAACTTACACAATCCTTTCACTAATGAGCCATTAGCCCGTTTCTAGGTTAACTTCCGGTCATTATGGCCAAATTCGAATTTTATATATTTTAAAATTTTCAATTTGAGCCCATTTCTTCTTTTCTTTTCTTCCACGCCCCGCCGCCGCCGCCCGCCGGTCAAAGTCGCCGGAAAATGAACTTTTTCCGATTCCGGCGGAACCAATGTCATTCTCTTCGTCTTGAGACGAGGATCAATAATATCCAAACCATTTTGTCTAATTTGGCCTGTAACTTCTCGAATCTGAATTTTTCTACTCGAAAAAACCCTAAAATTCGAAATTGGATCCAAAATTGGGGATTTTGCAAATCTTCATCAAATCTTGCAATTGAGGGGTCCTTGGAGGTCGCCCGGATGCCACGACCGCATTGGCGTTGGTGCCCGCCGTCAATTTCGCCGGAGTTGGCCGGAAAACGCTCCGACCCGCCGGCGGGGTCAAATTGAAAATTTTAAAATATATAAAATTCGAATTTGGCCCTAATGACCGGAAGTTAACCTAGAAACGGGCTAATGGTTCATTAGTGAAAGGATTGTGTAAGTTCAGGGATTTTTGTGAAAGGATTTGAAGTTCAGGTACCACTTCGAAATTTCAGCTAAAGTTCAGGTATCATTTGTGAAATTTACCCGGCCGGAGAGAGATAGAAATATATTTATAGACTCACTTGCCCATTGTTTTTAGTGCCATAAGGAAGGAATGGTGTTACCTACTTTGCCAAAGTGCCACATAAGTAAAACTTGGTACCAAATGGAGTTTGCTACATCCATACCCTGCACCCTTAGATTTGGTTATCTTCA